GGGGTATTTTAAATTTGGGTAAAGATAATTGCATTCTTCCAATTGCCAATCACAAATGCAATTTAATATCCATATAATTTTAATGTGTACATTGCCCATCCCAAGATTCTGGGTGATTTACATGACATCTATTTAATTTTTTCCATTCTTTTAAGGATTTGTGTAAGGTTAATAGGCTTCTCTTACGAAAATTGGGGCTTGATGGGGGATTGGAATAGAATGATTCCCCACAATTTCAAGAGAAAAGAAAAGAATATTCTTTTCAAGATTGGGGTTTTTTTAAAAAAAAAAACTTGGTACTGAGGTTTCCTTGGTAGAGATATTACCAAGAAAAGATATTGGATTATAATCCTGTGAATTTGGTTTATAAAAGTTGTTCTTACAGATGGAGACTAAATGAAAAGGTAACCTTTGATTTTCTTCTTATAGGTTATAAACATGTGGCTGATTACTAATACAAACTACAAACTACTAGGGCTTGATTTGATCCGGAAAAGTTCTTTCCTGCCTATTTTTTTATTGAAACTTTTTGTTAATTTGTTTTTCAATTATCCTCATTTTAATTTGGAGGCTACATTTGTGTAGTACAGTATTCACAAAGTTTACTCCAACTGTATGGCAATCTGTCCACCAACTTTAAAACTATTGCTCTGGAGATATTTGGTTTATATGCATACAAGCAAACCACATGTATTGTAATACAGTATCTTAATACATAACTGTGATGTGGATTCTGGCATTAAGCTTTTGAGACTGAAAATGAAATCTAGCACAAGCAGAATAAGGGAATTATTTTAAAACATTAAAATCCAATAATGATCCTTTGCTCTTTTGACAGTTTACTCGGCCTAAATGCTGCAGATTTTTAACCATTTGCTAAGATACACTTAAGACTAGCTGACAGACTACCACAATCTCCTTGGAGGAATATTGACAAGTTATTCAGATAACTCTCCTCTTTATGCATTACTAGCGTCAACAGCTGCACAATGAGTTTTTAGCAAAGCCTAAAAGCAGAGCCTTGAAGGGATCCATGAATCAGAGCAACAACAAAGAAATTAGCCTTTGTGTATGGCCGATTTCCTTATTGGCTCAGCCAATCTCATTGTACACATGTTATACTCTGACAATAAAGGTTGGAAATTCTAGTGAAGAAATTGTATCACCTTTCGAATGGATTTTCCCTCAAATCTGTGGGAGTTTGTACATGGCTGACCAGTGAAAGAGCTTAGGTCCTTCTGGAGGAATTATACCAACACTTGTCAACAAACCAACCTAGATATGCCAATGCTTTACTATTTATCGTATTTTTTGGAGTATAAGATGCACCTTCCCCCCCCCCCAAAAAGAGGGTGAAAATCTAGGTGCATCTTATACACAATACAGCATTTTTGGCCTCTGTAAACCCCGCCCCCTTCACAAAAATGGACATGCAGAGGGTTTGGGAGACCTGCAAAGTGCTCCTGGCGGCTGGGAAGGGCAAAAATGAGTGAAAAACGGGCCGTTTTTTTGCTCATTTTTGGCCCCCCCCCCGAGCACTCTACAAGCCTCCTAATAAGCATGCCCTTTTTTTTTTTTTGCAAAAAACAGGCTCATTTTTTGGGGGGGGGGCCGCGCCCAGGAGGGCCTTTCAAACTCTCTGCATGCTCTGTTTTTCACAAAAAATGAGGCATGCAGAGGGTTTGGGAGGTCTGAGGAGTGCAAAAACTTTTTTTTTTTACATTTATCTCTTCAAAATCTTGGTGCATCTTATACTCCGGTGCGTCTTGTACTCTGAAAAATACGGTAAGTTTATTTTATGAAAGGTGACACAGCACATCACATAGCTAGCTTGAGACTTAAAAATATAAAAAAATGCTTTGAAAGTCAGTGGAATAGCTGTCCAGCTTAGGCATTAAACTAGATCTTGTCTTAAAACAAGACTATCTGATCTATGGGGACTCCCAAAGCCGAATCAGTGAATTTTAGTGTTTCTAGTAGGCTGCTTATAAGAGAATATCTCAAATACAATTTAACAGAAGGAGACCTTGTTAAATTAACCTTTTCTTTGACTTTGCAAACATCTTTTCCAGATAACAGAAAAACAAACAAATACCATGCTAAAAAAATTATCTAATTGCTTAAACTTCCTCAGACTGAATTTCTTTTCACAAGACATTTTATCATCCTTGTTCCTGCTGAGGTGAGCATATTAATAACTCAATGATGGACAAGAACAACTTTGAAGCTGTCTTGTAGAGAATATCAACTGTCCCAAAACAGCAGGCTGAACTAGTAAACAGAGACACAACTGCTGATAGGCAAATAAATAAGAGTAGCAACATGAATCTTGAGAGGAAAATTATCACAGCACTTAAGCCAACATCAGAGTACGCTCACGAACCTATGCTTCCCAGAAAGCAAGTGACACCCATGTACACTTAGGGAACCACACATCTTAATTATTTCTTGGTTAATTTTCCAGCATTTGGTGAAGCAGAATTGCATTTAGTGCATTTAATTTAACGATACTTTAGGTTCAGATAAAATAATTAGAGACATAACAAAACTATTTTCTACAAAACCTAGCGATAAGAAATTCAGCTATTGGTGTCCTTAAATGTTCATGCCAAGTCACTACAATGTGTTAAGAGAATGCCAGATTCAGCAAATCTGCCAAACAGAGGCAGCAATTTATAAATGCAATAATTTTGATGCTTGCTGAAACAAGACATTAATTTATTCATTAATCAAGTTCTTAGGTGTTCACAAATACTTATAGACTATGGCTATTTTCAGTTCAATGTGTCAAAAATTATCTTTTTTCTTAGAAAACAATTAGTCATCAGCAGGAGACAGCTGTGACTACCTCTAAGCAATCCACTTATGAGAATAATTATAAGGTTGTGTAGTCAGTTTGCTTTGTTTAAAAGATACCATTGTTACTTCTTAAAACAGATAACAAAATATCTTATTGACAGATTGGAACCCTTAATGTTTATGCATTTTATTTCCTCATATGATCCATGTGACTCTGGATCTATTTTACCTTGATAAAATTTGCATAGCATTTGGGCTTCTTTTTATATAATCTTCTATAATTTCTAGAGATCAAGATGGAAATAGGTGCTATTAAGCATAGTAACTAAGACTTACATAGTGCTAGTTACATAAGGGCCTTTTTGGTAATGCAAAACACAAATCAAAAGGATTAATTCCTATTTATACAAGTTGGAATGGAATATTGACTTCTTAATCCCATTCCCTTGTAGCACTGATGATATTACCTAGTTGGGCAATGAAACATCTGTAAGAAAACAACTAAGCTCAGGGAGCACTAAGGACTCTTCCACTGGTGTGTCTTTCTTCTTTTACATTTAAATTCTGGATTCAGTATAAATAATACAATCTATGTAACTAGTAGGTTCAAACCTAAAATCTTCCTGTTCATTGCCAATTTCCCGTTAATGAAACATAATCTTATTACATAGAGCATGATAAACATAGCCTGATTCAAAACAATTTTAGAGGAAGCAAAGAAAAAAAGGAATGCTTCCCTTTATTCCTTCAAGCAGTTTCCTCTTTTGTTATTTTAGAGATCCAAATCAATTAAATATGAAAAGTTATAAGAAGGAAAGAGAATGGTACCAGTTTACCAGATTTTTGCTAGCTGCAAAGGGGCAATTGTAATATTTTAATAAGCAAACCAATGGTAGGAGGCAGTAGAAAAAGAGGATATTTATTTGTTACAGAAATTTTGAGGAGAAAGAAAACATAAGAGTACAACAAGAAAGAGAAAATCAGTATTACATTTGAACATAAGCTTTCAGTGAACAACACTGTAAAATGACCAAGGCATTTCTGATGTTACTTCAAAAGCAGCCTTTCTACTTAACAAAGTTAATTTTTTCTTTAACCTTCAAATCTGTCTTAAATGGGCCTCAATCTTATAGAATAATTTTGGGGGATAGAGGAATCATCACACCCTCCTTTCTCTATGACAAAGCTTCCCAGTCAACAAAAGAACTGGATACAGCCCATGCTCTTTTTTTATCTGGAACAATAAAGGGCAACAATCGTATTTTAATAATTTTATGCAGGAAGATTAAGTAAACAATAAATAAATCTATCTACATAAACATAGATATATAGATATGCATATTGCATAGATAGATAGATATTGCATGTAAATTGCATAGATACACAGATATGTATATTGCTGCTCTGTATATCTGATCTACACTTACAGAGCAGCAGTACTTGAAATCAGTGGTGTGCAAAACTTTTATTTTGAACCACTTTAAGCAGAAAGTGAAGCAAAACATCCTGCTGCTCAAGTAAGAAAGTGCTGCTTTAAACTTTTTTTGAAGTGTCCCAAGCTCAAAAGTATCAGGGGGAGGATGGGGGGACGGGGACATGGGATGTCGTCCACTGACTCACCTCACTTGTGCGCATCGCCCCCAGCCTCTTTTTCACTATCAGAGACCTTCAGGAACTTCTTCAGCAGGCAAGGCCAGCAAGACTTTCCTGAAGGCCTCTGTAGCTGATAACAGGGCTCTGGATCGATCCGGAGCTCTGTTACCGGCTACAGAGGCCTTCAGAAAAGCCTTGCTGGCTGCAGCAAACGAGATGGGCCGAGGTGTGCGAAGTCTGGCTGCAACTATCTGAAGGTAAGTAGTAGGGCAGCTCCACACACCCCATCACCTCTCTAGCTTAATTTTTACCTGTGCACCCTGGAGTGGGTGGGGTCTTAATTAGGGATTATTTGAGGGGTAGGGCTTATATTTGGCGCACTTGTAAAAATCAAGCTAGGACTTTCTGAGTAGGTCATAATTTCGGGGAAACATGGTAGTTAAGATATGAATTGTTTGCACGCTCCTGTTGGTAAAAGCAGTGATTCTAGATCTATGGCAATGCTTGTTCATTGTTATTTGGATGGCTAACTAAGTGATTCACATTCAGCTTGCCTGTTCTGTGGCTTTAAAAGGGCCCTTTCATCCAAATATTGCAGAGCTCCTTACCTTTAACGCAGAAGCCAAGCGGACCATGTGCTCATTTAGGGTACTCTCCGACTCCTTGTAAGTCAGACAGGTAAACTGATATTCCTCCGGATCAAAGGAATCTGCTCCTTGCTGCTCCACGTCATTTGCAACCCCTTCGTAGTAACCCTCAATGTCCCCAGGATCTTCATCTTCTTCCTCATCACAGTTTGGATCATAGTCCTCCTCGTTGCTGTCAGAACCTTGGCTGTTCATGTCCACGGACATCTTAACGCTCTGCCAAACCACCAGGCAAGCGAGCTATGACAGTTTCTGGCTTGACAAGACAGTACTATCGTTCTTTGGACTTCATCTGACTTTCCTGCCACCTAAATTTGAACATAACAGGAAGAAGAGAGTGGAAAAAATGTTTGCAAATTTGATTAATAAAGAAAAAAAAATCTAACAGCAATTCAATTCTTATTCAATTGAACAGAATCAGTATTTACATCTAACACACATAATCATTCTTCTATATAAAAAAACTAGCTGCAGCTATATTATTTCTGCATCCAAAAAAGGATCCTTAACCAAAGTCCTGCTCATTTACTAATTACCATTTTAACAATGGTATTTTTTTGTCTTTTGTAATTTTTTTGGGTCCTTCCTCATTAAATCCATTACATAGGAAGTTACTGGAAATGTTGGGGGGAATAGTACTTACAATACTGCTATAAAAATGCATATTGTGGTCTGATGCAGTGACTCAGTTCCTCATTCTCTGAATAATTTAGGCTGCTTTCTAATTATTAGGTAAGTATCCTACTTCCCAGCAATACCATAAAAACCATCAGGTCAGAAAGCATACATATGCCATAAAATTCCTTAACTGAAACTATCAACACACACAAAGTATATTATTTATAAGGTGCTCATCTATATCAGTTATATGTGTAACAAGGAAAAGCTTTTTAAGGAGTTTCCCCAACTTTTTAAGAAACATGTTATGGCTGGCCAGAAGGAAGAAGGGCTCTACTGGGAAGCCATAAATCTTGGATGTCACATAACAGAATCTGATAGTAGCAATGCTCTACTTGGATAAGCTTAAAGGTAGAAAATATTAAAGAAAGCATTCCTTCTAACATGTAGAGCCTAAAGGATTAAGGTTTTTCACTTCAAAAAGAGTTTCAAATATTTCTTTATGCAGGGGTCTCTGCAACATGCATCTTTGCTATATCTCCTGAAAGAGTTTGATCACTCTACGCCAGACAACTGAATTTTCCAAATCACTTAAAGGCAAGCCCAGAGTACTATACCCTCAGTAACGTAAAATAGAGGTGATATAAACTGCAACTTCCTGTAAAAGACAGAAGTGGGCATGTTAGCAATTTTGAACAAAAGGCTCTCAAGGTATTTCTGCCTCAAGATTACGAAATAATAACCTAGAAGCACCATGAAGCTGCAAAGCTCTCTCCCTAAAAGTAGACATCATGTCCAAATGAAAGTATCTTTTACCAAGAACTGACCTTGGAGACAGAACTGCTTGTGTGTAAGTAGCATGGTCTACCAACCAAGACAGGCAATCTGTACAGTTAATTAATTCTGGATATACCATTATCCTCATTGGTAGTATCAATATTTTTCAAGATATCCCTCATAAATTCTTATTCATAAATTAATCCTAAAGCGGGGGAGGACCTATGCAGTGAATAGATAACTAAACTCTATGTTGTCTATTCACTATGTGGTTTGCCTTTTTGCCCAATTCAGTCTTATAAAAGGATTAGAATATAGCACATTTAATTTTTAAAATTTATTTAATATGATTAATTGTGTATCAAACACATGTGTGGCTTTTGATGGCTAGCAGGAAAAAACAGTAAGAAACCAGGCAAAATTAAAACATAAAATAAAAAAAATAGTGAGAACAGCTGACATCCAAAATTAATTTAACCAAAACAAAGAAACAGGCTCACTAATACTATGGCTATTCTGAGGGGAAATTATAATATGCTATACAACCAGAGACAAGTTGATCCCTCAGAGATGTTGTGTCACGCTCCTTCACTTAATAATCAAGAAAGAAACCACTCAACTCCATTTTGCAGAATTAAGTGTACTTTTAATGAGAAGCTAAGCAAAGCTGGATCTGAGCAAAAGAGCATGAAAGCAGTAGATATCAATACATGATTCATTCCCCTCCCCGTGGTAGCCTAGTCCATAGTCCAATCGTATATCTCCTCAGCTGTCAAGTGGGAGACATCTTCAAAAATCATCATCAGGTTGGAATGGACAGTTGGCCTTGGCGGGAAACTCCCCTCCTTCCACATGTGCAAACAAATGGTATGAACAACTCCCAATTAACAGTCCTCCAGTACAGAATATGTCCTTCACCCAAATACCATGCCCTCCCTCCCCGTTTCATGGCAGCCGGAAAGCAAGCAGCAAGGCAGAGGCTGACATATTGATTTTACATTTCCATATACAACTATATGTGTGATGAGAAATGTAGGGTAAGAAAATCTCAGCATATCAATATCATACTCCTTCATTAAGTAATTCAGGACTGTCACACAAAACACTTTATACCAACCACACTGAAAGTATTCAAGGGCTTAAAACTTTTCTTACTCTACACTCATACAGGTTATCTCTTGCCTTCACATATACAGAAGCTACAGTAACTTACACTGGGCCAGGAAATGAAGAGTAAGCAATAATTTCAAGTAGAAGGGAGAACAGCATAACATTCACCTGCAACTTCCAAAGCATAGAATTCTGTTGCAAAAATTAATATAAGGACTAGGTGATATTTGACATATTACATTAACTGAACATTGCTTTCTGTCATGACAGTGTGTGTTCCTCTGAAACTATAAGCAATTACTAAGTTTTAATTTTGCTAATTATCACTGATTACGTATGATGGGCCCAGAGTTCTTAACACAATATCTAGGGATCTAGCGTGCACACAGGTATCTTCTAAACTATATTTCCTAAATGATATTTTACTAAGTTAAATTTAAAAAGCACTACATTCATTTCATACTATTCAACAACCCAAATACCTAAAATTATATTTAAATACAACCTATAAATCTAAAATGGGCTTGAAACAATATAATAGGATAATAAAACGTTTGCAGTTTTCAATAATTGTATAAAATAGTAATAGCGTGACTATATAAATCACAATAATTCAGTTTTTGAACACAGATTAAACCCGGGCCATAGGAAATCCCATTCTTCAATTTTGCGTCTCTGCCAAGGAAGAACTAGTTCAAAGGCTGAGAATGGACAAATTTAATTAAAGCAATTTTTAGAGCCTGGTATGCTTCTCTCAAGAATACAAAAGATGCATGAAAAATCAGGGCCCAGACTATTATAACTTACATTGTTTGAATTTGTGGCATTTTCTTCAAAATATTTCCTTACTCATTCCTATATACAGGATGAGGTACAGTACATATAATCGCTTTTACAACAACTAAGCATAATAACAAAGCCCTTCAAATCTGGAGATATAATTTAATATTAACATATTTAAACTTTAACGTTATACTACTACTTGGATAGTAATAATATCAAGCCTAAAACAACCATCCTACTGGTGGACACAACCAGGTTATACTAATGCATAATGGGTGTGAGTCTGTTGGGGGGGGGGTATTTTTACGTACCGGTATATAGCATAATACCAAAATGCCAAAAGTTGAGAAGTTCATTGCAAATTGCTATTGCAAATTACTATGAAGTATTCCCAAAGAATCTTACTTTTCAAATCTCAAACAAGGCGGCAATAGTTTATCGTGTTTATTTTGCTGTTTCCGCTACATCTGTTCGATCAAATTTTGAATTCCAAAGAAGTTTAAAGAAATGGTTCCATATTGAAACATGCCATATAAGGCTGACAAAAAGTATAATCCTACTCATTGGGATTTAATTGTATCTATATATTCACCCAAAAAAAATTCCCAATTGTTTCCATGAAGAACATTCCAGTGCTGGCAGTTAGCCTTTTTTCTCTTCAAGTATTATTCCAATCCAAAATTAAATTAAAATCTCCAGCTACAGTTTTCTAGACTATTTGTAAACTCAAAAAATTTACAGAAAAGATACCTAAAATAAACTCCAATTCATGTTTGGTTGAACCACAAAAATGCATTTGTGGCATTTAACATTCCCCATTACTAACTACTAAGTTATATAATACCCATTGGTATTCAAAGTATCTTCTTTAAACACATAGTTGGAAGATTTATTAATGACCTTCACTATTGTCCTTGCAGTTCTTGAACGTCTATTAGTGCCTGCCAGGTTTTCTTTTAACTTTACATTCAAACTATATTTTTAATCTATAAAATAAGGTAGCCTGCTGCGAAGTTCTCCTCTTCATCATCATTCCTTCCCCCAGATATATTTAAGCTGTTGATGAACCCAGGAAGTACCGTGAAAGCTTATGAAATATTAAACTTGTTCATTTCAAGCATCACAAGATTCTTGTTTTTGCTGAGTGTTACAGTAAAATTGGACCTTCCTTGGAAGGATAGTGCATTTGCTTTTATTTTAAATTTTTTTTATAATGTCTCACTATGGCAAAAAGAAAAGTGTAATTTTGTGTGCACAAATATTTGCACAATGAAATCATGTAGGATGCCCTAGGAGTCTTTTTTTGGCTGAAGAGCAACAGGAAATGCTGTTAATAATTAAATCTCTTCACCTCTTTGGCTAGCACCAATTTGGACCAACTTCATTTAAAACTATAGTTGTGTTACCAAAAACTTCTACGCTATAGTAATGTAGTATTAATCAAAAAAAGTTGTCCAGAAATATTATATTTTGAAATAACGATATTTTGAAATAACTACAGTCAAGACTAATTTAAAAATGCTCACAGATTTAAACATTTCAACAAAATTAACTAATAGCCTACTGCATTAAAATTAAAAACTTTTTATTGTAGCAGTTTTCACTATAGTCAATCATCTTTTTATCCATTCAATAAGTTCGCTACCAGCACATTCTTTAAAGACTATTTATTATAAAAGTAACAACGTTTAGATGAACTGCAGTTTGTTGCAACAAGAAAGCTCACAAAAGCAATCCTGGCACAAAATTTGGAGCATTCCAAACTAGTTTTTTTTTTTTTTGCCAAGTCAAAGTTCACCTGGAAGAAGAAAATTCCTTGTTAGAAACCTCCATTGTCCCCCGCCCCATTGTGCTAGAAAAATGGTGGATAAAAGTTAAGAACACCACCCTTGTTGAACATGTTCAAATTTATTTAACTCTTCACCATTACAATTTATTGTCTAGTCTATCCTTTTAAGCAGCAGCTGTATTTGCACTTCACTTTAAAGCAGGTCACACGGATATATCCCAATGACTGAACTTTGTATTGGTAGACAAAGCACTTAAAAGAACAATAGGGTCGTTTTTACTCTTATTTAGTTTATATTGTTAAATATCAATGTGACAACAATAGGAGCGATGGAATCTTTCCTGGGTAAAGAGAATAAACGCATGATTTAAAAAAAAATACTTTGCTATAATCCTGATTTTTTTTTCTCCCACCATCGCCCCCTCCCCAATATCATTTTTTTAAAGTCCAAAATCTCCCTGCAAAGTCCGTTTAATTTGGATACGTTGAGAATCAGCGATTAGTCCCAGGATCCCCCCTACCCCATCCGTATTGCTACCCGGCTTCCCCCCCCCCCCCAAAAAAACCCTCCTTTTTTCGGGCCTCCAGGTTCGGGGAATCGAGGCAGGGAGGAACTAGGGCCGCCTTAGCCCGGCAACCAGGCCGCCTGCCATTCCGCCGCTGCAGCCCCGGGAAAAGCAGAGAGTCTCCCTGTCCATCCCCCCTCCCTCCATGTAAACAAGGCCCGGCTCCCCTTCTCTGCGCTCACCCAAAGCGGGGAGAAGGCCCGGGCGGGACTGGACACCGCTTCTCAGAGTGAGAGCCTCGGCCGCTGCGCCGCCGACTCGGCGGGTTTAACTCGGAGTGAGGGGAAAAAGAAGAGAAATAGAAGAGAAGAAGAAGAAGAAGAATCACCTTCCTACAAGCTTCTCCATCTCTAGCCGGCCCACTATGGCTTGAGCACCGGAAGCTCCAGTCCCGGGCGGAGCGTCGCTTCCGCCTCTAGAAATGGCAGGAGAAAGAGGAGAAAGACGCCCCAGAGCGTCGAATAAGCCCTCCCGCGGTTGGCGGGGGGGGGGAAGTGTTTAGAAGGGAGCCTTTCACTGGCCGGAGCGGAGAAGAAAAAGAAGAGGGGTTTTGGGTTGAACCACTGGACGTGGCGGTGTAGGCGATCAACCTACTATTTTTCATCAGCTTCAGAGCTGATCGCCTTGATAAAAGAAACTTCGGCTGCCATGAATGAATGAAACGAAATTGGGGTGGTGGGTGGGTGCCACCAAGCTTGAAATTTTGGGGTTAGACAACTTAACCAATTTCGTTGTATTTATTTTGTACAATAACAATAAAGTCTATACTATAGAACTATGCCACCTTCGATCTGACCTAAGCGTAGTACATAAAATTATCTGCTATAATGTCCTACCTGTGAATGACTACTTCAGCTTCAACCACAACAATACAGGAGCACACAATAGACACTAACTCAAGGTAAAGCGCTCCAAACTCGATTGCAGAAAATATGACTTCAGCAACAGAGTGGTCAATGCTTGGAATATGACTTCAGTAACAGAATGGTCAACANTTGTTAAGTGAGTTTCACCACATTTTACAAGTTGACCACGCTCACCCAGCCACATGACTGCCAAGCGACTCCCACCCAGTCACATAGCCAGCAAGCCACTCCCACCCAATCACATGGCCGGCAAGCCACTCCTACAAAGCAAGCCACACCTACAGAAGAGGTTCTAAAAAGTTTTGAAACCCACCATCTTTACATTATAGTAAGGCAAGAGTGGCCAAGCGTGGAAAATATTGGCTGGCTTGGAAATGCTGGGATTTGTAATCCCCAAGTCTTAAAGTGGCCAAGGTTGGACACGTCTGCAGTAAGGGCTTGTAGACTTTGTAAACTGCTGCAAATTAAAAACTTCATGCAAATCTTTAAGGTACCACATACCAATAAATTCACAGTACAGCTCATACGATTGTCCTTGCTTTCATCATTCATTACAGCACGATAATCCAGTAGTTTTTCCAAAAGGCCTTTTATTAGGCTTACAAACATTTCAACTGACTTGGCAATCTTAGGAAAGATTGAAGAACGCTCAGTGAGTCTGCAAATGTAAAAGAAAACAATGAGTTTTTGCCTAATGTGTTATTACAAATTTGTGACTAAATGAAGGAAAAAGCGATGAAGAATGGTAAAGGCTTACTTCATTATTTTTGTTTGTTTGGAATATTTGTTTAAACACTGGGCAAGATACTATTTAAGGCAGTACAGTGATCTGAGCCAAGGAATAAAAGGGGGACTCAGAACATACTGTGTGTTCAATATACTTATTTTGTACTTTTTGGCATTTCTTTCAATCACACATGCTGTTGCCTAGGTCCGCAGTCAGGTGAGACCAAGAAAAAATGATCTTAAAGAAGATTAGTAAGATGTTGAAATTGCCTCTTCCCATTTGAATCCATACTGCTACATGACCCTAACACTTTTCATCCACATTACAAAATGTTCTCTCTTCAAAAAGCATATTAGTTCTGGGATGTTTGAGTGGGGGGGGGGAGAAACAGGAGTGCTCCCCTCAATTATTCACTCTGGCTGTTAGCAATCAGATATAAAAATATAGATGAAAATCTATAATGTGTTGAATTTCATTAGTTTCTGCCATCTCATGTAACAATTCAATTGAACAGCACTGAGAAGTGTCAAGGTGAAATACTGCAATTCTTTCACTGGCATTTTCTAGGCCCTTCTATAATTTTGAAAGTGCAGATGATCATTGTTTTATATATTCCAAAGCAATATTTTTTCGTAGAAGCATTTAACATCTTGTCTAAAAATTTTGCCTCTCAAAAGAATTCTCCCGCTGTGCAGGCTTGTGTTTGACTCAGTATTAATGCCTCCTTTTATTTGAACATTGTAGGTTGTAATACTCAGTGTAGTTTTGAAACAACAGTTCCATTGTTTAGGGGAAAAATTAAACATCAGTACATTTTAATAAGATAGCTAATAATTGTTATGTGACTTTAATACTCTTGGATTTAATCTATTTGGGTTATATTTAATGTTACATAAACAGCCAACCATTTGTATAAAATAGCTGGCTCTGACACCATACCTTTTCCTTTAAAAACATCCTAAATCTGTTTCAGAAAATACTTCAGTTCTTCCGAGGAGATATATGGTGGAAGATATGTGATAAAACTGTTCCAGTGCCTGTTTTTAATTCTCTTGGTTGATTGATATATTTGGATAAAACATGTTCTGCTTGTCAAGTGGTGTATAGTGTGAGCATCAAATTGAAAGTATTTTATAATACTTGTTAGTATTATGAATTAAAAAATAACATGCAGAGAAAATTTAGTCGGGATTCAGGTTTTAGGAGTGGAAATTGCTGGTATGGAAATACCCACTCAATTAATCATTTAAAAACAAAAGACAGTTGATGCACCTTTATACATTTTGTAAAAATTGGGTTTTTTCCCTGCCCAAATGTACCTCTGAGATCAAAATGTTGCCCTCCAAAATATTAGTTCTTGGAAAGAAGAGCAGATTTTACTAATATAATCCCAAATGCTGGACAGATGGAATTGTTGGATCTGGTGAAGCTTTTACTGTTTTGGTTTCATCTCAATTCTGTGTACTCTAAAACAAAAGCTGTTCACAGTTGTTTGTTCAATAAGATCTTATCCATTGACCAGTCTCTAACTCTGGATAGTTTAGCTGAACTATGAATGATTCAGAAAAAACCCAAGGTAATCTTTATATAGCACACAGTTAAAATAAAAGAATTTGGAGCCATGAGACTGCACAGTAAAGGCTATATATTTGAATGGCTTTCGAAGAGAAAGAAACAATTTTCATGGAGGATGAGTATCTGTGGCTACAATTAATATGATGGCTATATAACATTTCCAGAAGTGACATATCTCTGACTACCAGTTGTTAAGAAGTACAAGCATTAATGTCATTATGTTTTTTGGATGGACTTCCCATTGGGAAACAGGAGGAGAGGTAGCTTTGGTTTCTTCAAGAAAAGCTTGTCTCACATTTTCATTTTTGTTCAGTGCAAAAGTTGGATTAGCCTCCATGGTAGGAGCTGACAGCCCTCTGGATATTGTTAGTAGCAAGCACAGGATTTATTATAATAAACCAGAGAGTAGTATGCAATCCCCCCGTAGAGACAGGGTTCTAATTTTGTGATGAGCTTTCCCTCACTTTCCTTCTGGAAAGTTGATATCTGGAAGTACATGAGATTTGCATATGTTTGTAATTTTACAGGTGCACACTTTTTTTTCATTAGTTGGTCCCTTTTAGTATCTCTTCATGTGCAAAGCACAGGTAAATGTTATCTTTTCTACTGTTTGATTATGGATAAATGACAATGCTAGAGGAGAAATATTATACATCATTATTTCTAAAAGAAGTTTAGATCATCTTATAGATCTAAGGTATATATAAGATATGATTAATAAATCCTGATAGACTATAGAAATAATATATAGAGTAATTGAAGACTGAAAATCTATATAGATCCATGCATCTATGCATCCCTCATCTATCTATCTGTCTGTCTGTCTGTCTGTCTNTCTATCTATCTATCTATCTATCTATCTATCTATCTATCTATCTATCTATCTATCTATCTGTCATCTCTATATTAGTTCTTCACACTTTAGAAACAAATATCCAATTTAAAATATAAAACATTTGAAGGACATATTCCATTGTTGTACTTACATTGCCTCAAACAAATGCAGATATTGCTCATCTCCCCGGCCTCCTTCTACCTCGTGATCCAATTTTAAAATAATTTCATTTTCAAACTGTTCAGAAGAGGAAAGCAAAATCATTAAGCAGAGCACAAATTCTTTTTGGAACTCATTCCTATAAAATTGATAGCTTTTATGATACTCATATGTGCATCTCCCAGGTGTAGCACATAAAAATCAAGTAAGCATGTTTTTGTTTTTAAAAAAGTGGAATATTTCTCAAATTAGCACTAGGGTTGTAATGACATTAAAAGAAATATATGATTTCATAACAACATCCTAAAATTTATGTCTACATACACAATTAGATCTTAGAATAAATTCATAATATTTCAGGTACAAAATGATGTTAAAATACATTGTGTGTATTTGAATTGGTAACAGAATAAAATTATTCTAAGATGATTAAAAAACAGATTTTGGATATCTGCCTAGACTGATATTTCTTTCATCTGCTTTTAAATGTGCAGGACGTTAATTTCAAAATGAAATGTATATGAATAACCTGGATGATGGGATTGATGATGAAAAGGTGGGAACTTTGGCTCACCATGAGAGTGGTTGAATTTGCAGTCATAATCTAATCTGGATACATTGGAAAACTGAAGGGTTCGTAGCTTAGAAGAACTAGATCCTAAGACTTGGGAGTGGAAACTGACATGCAAGTCAGTTATGTGAGATATCTGTTACAAGAGCTGACAGTTTTTGGCTGCTTCAGAAGAAATACAAGTGTAGAGTAAAGGAATGTCAAGTGACTACAGCTATTTACTTAGCATACCTTAGATGAATTGTGCATGATCCTGGACACGACATTTCCAAGTTAAAGAATGGCAAAAAAGAAAATACAGGAAATTGAGAATTTAACCTCTGTGGACATGCCCAAGAAGTTTCAGAATTCAGATTTCAGATATTCAGTAATACTTAAGGAAAACAGGAAAGCTGTCATAAAGGGAAGATACAGGGAAGATGGCAAATAATGTCCCATGATTGCAGAATTTAAAACCAGACACAATGGATATAAGTTGTTCTTATCAAGGTTTTATTTAAATATGAACTAAACTTTCTGGTAATATCATCAAAACAATTTACTTA